CCTCACATGTATTCCAGTCTCCCACGATTACATCGGAAGAAATACTTTTAGCAAGATAAAAGTTTTCCTTATCCAGATCATTCGTGCAAGGCGTAGTAATATAAACCAAGATGCTGCAGAACTTGCCTTTAAAATAGACGTAGGTCAACTGGTCATTAAGAGTTAATCGTGCCTTTTTGGACAATCGCGATTCCATTGCTACCATTACCATTAACCCCAGAATTAAAAAACTCCACTGTGATATAGCAGTTCTCTTAATCGAATGAGGCTATTGCACTTGACCCAGAATTAATAGTTCTGACCGGCAAACGATATCCACTCCACATTCGTGATTGTCGCCTGGCTTGAAGATCCATAAGCATTCTGACCTTGCAGACGACAACAGTCAAGGCCTCCTCGCATGCATACAGAATGCCTTAGATGTGATAAAGTAGTTCCCTCAGCTTGAGAACTTAATGGCCTTTAATATTACTGTCCATGCATATTTATTGTACCATCAGGTTAAGAGAGCGTGACGAAATACGTGAATGCCGCTAGCCCAATCACCATAGAGCCACTTGATAGTACAGAAGGGTTCTCAGCAGGTACCTCCGTTTGATTTTAATGACAGGCTTCCTTCTGTCCAGATGAGTAATGAGGTATTTTCGTAATTAATTGGAAAGTCCAGAAGTTCAGAAGGCAGAAATTTTGTAGGAAAAAAAGAAAATAAAAGACTTCCTATAAGAAAAATTCTTTCTAAGGAAATAAAATAATTTTTTTTAAATTTACTGTTATATATATATATAAGATTCAATTTACTGAAGAACTTGAAGAATCCGAGCATCTTTTCCAGAAAATGCTAATAAGCTAATCAATAATAAAATAACTTTGAAACTTTAAACAAAATAAAACTTTGTAAAAGTCCTCAGAATTTTATCGCTGCATTATTTACATGGGGATGCATATAAAAAGGAAGAACGAAAGTGCATATACATATGCGTGAACAAATATATTTATATATATATATTACATAATTCAAAGGGGCAAACTCATACAGTGCACACGGACCTGCAAATAATCATGCACATGTTTATCCAGAGTTATCTACTGTAGGTTCGAGTCTCACCAAATAATTTTTCCTATCCTTCTCACTTACTATTTTCCTATTCAGTTACTCTTCCGAATCTAAAATTTATTTCTGCGAAATTAAATTTGTGCACTATTTTCGAATTCCATTGTGCAAAAATCTTTTATGAATTTATTTGGGATTTAAAAAGAATGCAAAAGATTCACCTTTTCTGGTTAAGCTCGCTCCGCTTATTTGTCGGATCTTGTCAAGGAGTTATTTGGCTAGAAATACCACCTAAATGACCCGAAGTTTTGAAAAACAGTTTTATCATGTAGATGATAAAATTCTATCATTGAACCATCGAAGAGAATAACCCATTGAATCATTCCAAATCATTATTACAATTTTTTTGTTCTATCAAAAAAATTAAAAAACCTGTGGTGCTGCAGTTGGAGGCTTACAAGATACGCCATTTAGCGAAGTCTTATATTTTTATTTTTTTAAAAAAGTTGTATAAATCAATTTAATTAAATTACCCATTAAAAATCAATTGACTTTGGCTTAAAATAGATTTATTCAATTGCTTTATTTTTTTCAACATTTTAATTTAAAATCGTACCAATTCCTCTTATTTTTAAATATTAATTGGTTAAAAATTTTCTATTTAATTTCAATTATTTATTGAATTATTTAAATCTTTCAATATTAGTTTGAATATCTAAAAAGTTTTTTTATTCATTTAAAATAGGTTTATTCTTAACGCGAGTGGAACTTTCGCGCCGACAAAAAAGAGCAACAACAACTTACTGAGCCATTCCATTCTCAGTTAGCTAAGTTAGGGTACTTGTATGCACCTCCGGAAAAAAACTTGTCCATTTTCTCCAAAATTTTATCAAAATTCTTTCTTAAATTGCCTTGCCTACTCCCCGGTTATTTTCCTTTAGAGAAATTTCCATCCACGAAATCCCAATTATCCTCTTTGATCCCACGTGATACCTCAAATTTTTCGAAATTTCTCATTTCCTTGGCGACTTGCTATGCTCCTTCGAAATCCCTCTTTTTTATCTCAATGTACCTTCTTTGAATTCCCCCCACCCATTCTTTTGCCTCTTTTGTTCGCTTTTACCACATCCCATTAAATGAGGTATTGCAATAAACTTTTTTACATAATATTACACCTTCAAGTTCCTTATCTAATCTAATCTAAACCTAAGCTAAAAAATCTATTTTAACATCCTCTGAAACCCTACCTATTCCAGCAGATCTCACTACTCACTACGTCGCTTCATTCTTTTTACAGTTTTCGCTTTAAATCCATTCTACTCTCCACTCTCCACTCTCATTAATAATCCGCAACACCTCTTTAATTTGAATTCCCTCCACCACCACGTTTTTCCTGCATTTGAAACATCGTAGACCCCTTTAAATTCATAATACTTTATTTCTGCAAGCTATATCACTTTATACCTTTATACATTATACCTTTATACATTATACCTTTAAAATACATATGATTGCATTTTAAGAATATAATCTCGCCATATTCAGTGTTCTCTCAAGATTCCAAAAAATCTCACTCTAATTTTATACTATGTGTTAACAGTAATATTACTTAAATCGTCCCACAATCTGCAACATTATCTCAAGTTCTTTACGATATCATTACAATCTTCTGACAACTTTCCCAGAACCTTTTATGACGCTTCGTACCAGTAAAATATCACCTTTGAAACCTTATATTTCGTTATAAATCAGATTGCGTTCTTTTAGATACAAAATCCTCCCTGAATTTTCTAAACTTTCTTTCATTTTCTTCATTTTTGCGTTGTACTCAGAGCTATCATGATCCTCTACGTTAACCTACCAATATGAAAAACCCACTGTTCGCGAATTTTTGGCTTGCAAAACTAAAAACCTTTACCTTTAAGATCACTCCATTTTTTGTGGAGAATCTTCCTAAATTTCGTTAAGGGTTCTCCTGGTAAATCGAAATTTCTGCTCTTTTTCCATAATCCATTAGTAAGGCCATTTAAAATCTTTCTGCTGCTTAGCCGATTTCTGCTTTGTTGCTCTAACTTTCACATATCACATTGCATTTCTTCCAAAGTCGCTATCGCAAGCCCTATTACAATTGCAAAAAGTAAAAGTATGATAATTAGTTTCGAAGATATTGGCGGAATAAAGTCACAGTCAGAGTTCGTTGGAGTATTAAGGGAATAAAAGAGTTTCGATAAAATTACGCGAAAAATTACGTGGTAAAGTTTGAAGACAATTTTGCAGATCCATAGGAGGGACGAATTTACGATGAGCCTTTTCTGGTTTTAACTTCTGATTGGTTTGTTTGAAAAATACAGAATTAAAATCGTTTTATTAGGACTATTCTATAGAGCTTAATAAAATGAAATAAACACACAGAACAAAAGTAAAGTTCAGAAAGAACAGCCTACACGACTTAAATGTTACTTTTGGCACTCTTGCAGCAAAGGCAAACTAACTAACTATAACTTCTACGGTTTATGACTGTTCTTCATTAAGGCTCCAACTATTTTCTAAGAAAGAAAATGAAAAAAAACTTTAAACTTTTGGAATCAAAAAACTCTACAAGAGCACTTTTCTAAAAAAATAAATTTAAAATACGCTCTTTTTGCAAATTTACCTTTTTTTACTTTAATATAGTGTTCAATTACACTGTATCAAAGTTTTCTTCTGAGAAATTTTTTAAAATAAAGTTCTTATTTTATCATGTGAATTAAAACAATTTAGTCCTTTCTTACTAATTACTAATTACTACATAAAAACAAACGTATCACAGAAAAAAAGCGAAGCTTATATATAATAGAATCAATGCAAGAATATGCTTGAAGCGATTATATGAAAAATTTTAGGTCTAAAAACGAGAAAAATTTACAACAAATGGGAAATGGGAAATTCGACGCAGATTTCCAAATGGGAAAATACTTTCGATTTTTAAAAAAGAAAAGAAAATGAGATTTGTGCCATTTTATTGCTTGAAGCATAAATAAAAATATTAATATCACCGGATGTTTAGCCGATTATATACGGAAAGCCTTTACAAAAAAAATTGTCCAAAATACAGACAGATAAAAAAGAATTGAACCAAAAAAAGAAGCTCAAACAATTGTAATTATGATAACGGTACATAATCGCAAGGTTGTCTAATTATTAGAATCTTCATTGCGAATATTGCGAATATAATCATAGAGATTTAAATTCAAAATTTCCTCAGATGGCCTTAAAATAATATCATTCGCCGGAAATATTTATCGGTTTCCATGAAAAACTTTGGAATCTTAAGGACAACTGTTCATAGAGCTCGAATCAACAAAGATATGAACAAAAATAGTTTAGATTTGTTTTCGCCAAAAAGTACAGAAATTTTTTATAATACATTAACCCATTTAGGCCTTTTTTCTTCGTTGCAGGCCTGATACAACATATATGCAATAATAATATGACCAGTAATTTATAAATACGCATTGGTAAAAAATATTTTTTAACACACTCATCAATTTTAGATTAAATAGATAAAAATAACATTTTCATACTATCATAAATTTACATGATATACAAACGATTCATAGCTAAAATGAAAATACAGCCATAAATCTTCAGTACTAATAAGTACAAATAATTTGTTATTAATTTTTTTATGCTTATGAAAATGATACACTACTAATCCCTGAACGATAACCTAATAATGAATAGGTGAATAGCTTAATAATTGAGATGCAAAAATTATTTTTACTTTTAAATGAATTTTTTATATTCCCAGTTCAGAATATATAAAAAGAGAATTATTATAATTTGTTATCAGTTATATTCTTGAAAACTTACCAAAAAATATTTCTACAATTTCTCCTGATAGTCGAAATTCAATTTCTACAAAAACTTCGATCGGAAAATTTCCCTTCTCTTAAAATGAATACCAGATTTATTGCCGATTAGTATTAAACGGTGGTCGACCATGACCAATAGGAGCTAATTTCGAAGGAACAACACGTTGTGCCTTGACTAAACCCATTGCAACTGCTTTATCGACAGGAAGCTACAATGCAAAAATATTTTTCAATATCATAATAATTAATAATAATAACAATATAATCAAAAAATAAAAATAACAGTAGTACCATGTAATAAATGCATTTTGTAAATTTACAAAAGCAGATCAATTATAGGGCTCAATAGCAGAAAAAGATGCAATAAGCTCGTACCCACCAACTGTGGCTAACATTATCTAACAAAAATTAAATTTTAATAATTGAAATAGAAAAAACTAAGTTAAACTTAAGACTGAAATTTTATCGGTAAGATAATTTATAGTAACCATTTCCTTAAAATTAAATAATTATAAGATTATGAGATAAATGCATCATAAGGCCTCAAAAACCTTGCAACCTACAACTGAATTAAATACTCTCTTTGATGCATGAAACCTATTCTTAATCTCATAATATCTCATAACTATACAGGCGAGCCTATAAAAAATTTTAGGCTAAGGAATTTTTTATTAAAAATTCAACATTTAATCACTTAAACTAGTCGATGGGAATGTGAAATCTGACCTGTTTATGAGGGAACACAGGAATATGACATTTAATGCAACTCTGTGCTTCATTGGCAACTGAGTTCTGACTCGTCCATTTTCTTTTACACTGCTGACATTGAAATTCGCCATAACATTTCTTTCTTCCTTGATATGGAGTCAGTTCTTCATATGGACTATTGAAACGCTTAAACATTTTATAAACATTTTAAATATATAAGTTTTAAGTTGCACTTTTTCGATACATTCTCATAATTTATTACCATCCACTGAATTTTCTAAAAAAACTTCGGTATAATCAACAATAATTCATAAATTATAAATTTCAACTTGGAAAAATATTCGTAAGCAATTTATAAATTAAATATGGATAGGAATATTAACCATAGGACAATCAGAAATATAATGACCAGTACGATAACAAATGTGGCATTGATATTTGGATGGTGGTGCCTTTTTTGGAGAGCATAAGAGTTGTGTGAATTGAGCGATTTCATCATGTGAAAAACCATCTTCTTGAGCGGCTTGAGATGGTATATTTTCATCATTCTCCGAACTTGGAGACTGAAAGACTGATTGGAGAAAATAATAAGAATCAATAAATATTATGAAATAATTAAAAGACTGCAATCCGATATCGATTCATCGAAAAAATGATAATGAAAGGTGAAATTGATAAGAAAAGAACAAACCTTAAATTTATTTGGTTCCATATCAATCAATGTTGGTCCTAAAGAAGCAATATTTTCAGCCTCATCAAAAAATCCATAATCACAAAGAGCTCGCTGAACATGTGTTGGTAACAAAAGCATATGCGGTGCAGGACTTGATAATGGAGTAGTACCTGATCCCGGACTACCATAACCCGAACTTGCACCACAGTCAAATCCATCTGGTCCCGAGAATGAGAAGCCGTTTCCAACGTATTTACCCTGTAACAAACCAACAAATATTAATTTATTAACTTCCTCGCAAGTGAATAAAATGCATTTCTAACTTGCTTTGTGAGTGTCATTCAAGCAAAAACCATTATAAATGGTTTATTTATAAATTTTATTTTTCCTATAAAGATAAAAAAAGAATAGAATGGATACGAAAATTTTACCACAAAGTGATGCAGTAAAAAATTAATCACTACAAGTAACATTTTCTCAAAATTTTTGCTTATTTGGATCGTTCAATTATGGATTTTTTTCTAAAAAGAATCTTTAACAATTTCTAAACAAAGTTTCAAATTTAAAAAACGAAAAAAAATGTTTAAAATTGCGTAAATGCTTAAATAATTTAGTTTGATAAAAAATATATATGAAACAATCATTTTAAATTTCATTATGCCAACATAAAAAATAAATAAAAAATAAAGATACTGATTAATTTTAAAAAATTAATGCAAATATTTATATTTATGGATTAAAGAATAATGAGAGGTTGCGATCACCATTTTCTTTTAGGCCCACTCCGATAGCCGCTTTTAGCAGGAAGTCACCTGGTGAAAAAATACTATAAGTCACCAGCATCACCCGACAAAGATTCAAAGAGGTTTCTTCGTCTTATTCAAAATTTTTAATATTTTTTTCGGAAATTTTGTTAAAATTTTCTTATTAACAATTTTTTCATAGGTCCATTTCTTGGTTTGTTAAATTTAATTCTTAAATTTTATGCTTCAAAGATTTGCTCTGAAAAAAGATTTTGCTAGAAAATAGGAAACAAATGGATAAATATCTGATTTGTTTTATCAAATAATATTATTATCGATAATACCAATAAAATCATCATCATAATTTAAAAAAATTTAAATAATATAAAAATATTTAAATAATATTTAAATTATTTAATAACGGATTAGATATTTTTTCATGTTTTGTAATATAACAACAAACTCTCTTTATTATCTTTATTGTGAATAACAAGTTGGGACATAGAAAGACAGATAGATAAGTCGGTTGGTAGGTCGATAAGTCGGTCGATCGGACAAAAATGATTTGTTTCCTATCCCCTTTCCATTTTTCAAATCAAGAAATTAAGAAAAATTTCCCCACTAAATTGCAAGTGATTATTTTCGATTGATAAAAAGGCAATGTAATCGAAGATCGCGCAAAAAGAACTTTTCATTTACTTTAATGTATGAAATTACCCACTTTTTTCTCTACTTAAAAGTTATCGAATTTATTAAAAATTATTAAATATGTTGAATTAGATCAAATTTTTTTGTACTGGCCTTTTCCCAACAATTTTCCCAAATAAATCAGTCTTAAATAACACTAGCCGTCTTCAATCCTAACAGGTTTTGCATGATTAAAAGCGGAAATTATTACTGACAAACTTGAGAATTTGAAACAACGAATTTAAAAAATTTAAAAATGGATTATAAGAATATTCAATTAGCATTCTTTGAAAAATGCTTCTTTTACTCTTGAAAAAAGAAAAAACCAAATTACCGACAAATTGTCTAAAATTTGCTTTGGTGAACTCGCGATAACAGTTGAACGAATTTGGGCGACTTGCTCTGCAACATCCAATGCGAGTCGATCATACTCAAACATTTTGGCTGATCCGGTCGTCTAAAACTTTGTTATTATTTTTTAATTTCTAGTGAATCAGATAAATGGCGAATAACAAATCTCACCAATAATTCGCAACAAAAAAAATGCAATATATGATTTATGAACGGTTATGAAAGAAATAGACTATAATAATTAATAAAGCCAAACGAATTTTTACTATTTGATTAAACGGCGATCAGCTTAAATTTAAACTTATCCTGAACACTTTTGGAAATCCTTTTTTATTTTCCTTTAAATCCTTAAAATCCAACTTTTTTTGAAAATTTGAGATCCATATTAACCTTAAAATCCACTTATTTCAATGAATTTCATTATATAAAATATTCTTTCACTGTTGACCATTTATCATTAAACAAATAAAAATTTTTTTTGAAAAACTTTGCAATTGTATTTATCTAATGTAGCATTTTCAAATTATCAACTATGCTATCAGTTATCAATCAGCGATCAAAATTAGATTGAATTTTGACAAATTTTAAGAGAAATTTTTTATGATTATTAAAATCTGATTTTATGATTTTACCTTAACAGAAATTGGATCAATAAGAGTTTTTAAATATCAAAACAAGTTTTATGTCATTAAAGAATATTACTGAAATAAACTAGAATGATTGGTCAGTTGCGCAATTTCCTTAGTGATGTAATATCATAAAAACATTGTTAACAATCCGACTAAACCGAATTTTACCGAATACTTCGTTAATTAAAATCCTTACAAATATTTGGCCAACTACAAATTATTTGCTAAAAATTGCAAGAAAAATCGAAATCGAACGTTATTTTGTAAAATTATTGCGAAATGCGCAGAGAAAAAATAAAAATGGCCACTTTATAACAACAATCGTACCAATTTTCGCAATCATGTAAAAATTATCCAAAATCGAACGATTGATTGTGAAATACAAAAAAAATCATTGGTTTTAATTATAAATTATTAACTATCGATTAATTTTATAAAATAAATATAATAATAAATAATAGATAATAGACAAAAACAACAAAAATAATAAATAATAATGATGAAATGAAATGAATTTATCAACGGATTTAAAAAAGCGTCAATTTTTCATCAAAATGAAAACTGGATAAAGCATAGATTTCTAGAAGAGAACAACTGGTAAACGATGCCAAAGTAATGACTGATAACGATATCAAGATGAATATCAAGACTGACAGGAACTTAAAATAAATCTTTAAAAATTGTACAAAAATATAAAATACATTCATTAATTTAATGGCTGGTGAATAAAGTAGATTTTTTGACAAAACTTTTTCGAAAAATTCAAAGCAATGCAAATCAAGCCTAAAAACCCTAGTATATTATTGTGACAAAATTAAATTAAATATATGCAATGCTCTCGGCTCATAAAACCGAAAGGTCAAATAGAAAGGTCAGAAATGTGTCACTAAAATATACATCTCATAAATATTACAAATAAAGAAAAGCAAATTTCTTTAGCAAAGTTTACCGACATTAAGAAGTAGTATTTCGAGCTACATCGTTTCGCCTCTCTGGAAAGAGCTATCACAAAAAACGGAATGGTGCTGACGATCCATTTGCCTCCAGTTGGGCCGCTCATCTCATCCTTCTCATAACCAGTAAGAGAATAATGGAATAACAGAAATAGCAGTGCTATTCACTAACATATATAACTCATTTCTAAATCACTTTTATTACAAAATCCATATTTGCATGAAAAATGTCATAAAAGGGCGAAAAACAAAGAAAAAATGAAAGCCTTAAACAGCGAATTAAATCTGTTGGCGAAATTCATGAAACAAATTGTCAGTGACAATATATTTGAACTGAACTGTTGTTCGACTTAAAAGAGAATTCGCTCGCATAAATTTCACTGACAAAAAAAGCGAAAATTAACAACGAAGATTGTCAACAACTCTCTTTTATTGGAAATTATAAATAAACGAGTTATGTTGAAAAATTCGGTTTAATTTCTGTTCTTACCAATGAAAAAAAAAGAAATTTCTCCGTTTACTTTAAAATGAAAAGTTTTTATAAGAATTTCGATTAATAAATTCGAATTAAATCGAAAATTAAATTTTTAGGAAAAAATGTTCTCGGTTTAAATTTAAAACTCGTTGAGGTACGACAGTCACGTGGATTCAAATTATCGCAGTGGGAAACAAAAACTCGGCTTCTGACCGCGACAGAGATAATTTGTCTTCTAAAAACCCGGAAAATTTCTAATCGTGGTAAATAAGCGCTCATCACCTAGTTTTTTACTCATGAAATGAAAAAATCAACAAAATTTTTTCGAATAATAAAAGCAAATGCTTGGCATTTTAGTGATTACTACTTATAGTTAGGCTTGTTCTATTATATTGTTTACATTGCACAGAAATTATTGCTACAGTCAGCAGCAGCAGGAATTTTTAATAAGTTTTCGGAGGTAGGGTTCGAACGATTGATTTCGAGGCGATAACCTGAGTAACAGCCAATCTCCTATTCTGTCTCCCATTTTCTCTAATACACGATTAAATCTATTATAAGATTGAAAAACTAAAAAGCTAACTTTCAAAACTTCCAAAAAAATGTAGAAAATTAATCAAAATCAGTTACCAATTTAGAAAAAGGAGATCATGCCGAGCAGAAGGATATACAACACGGCAGTTCAATTCTGCATAACAATAAAAATTCGCGACCTCGAAATCAGGTACTAAAAAAACCCGCGGAAATTTCCAGCAGAGCCCAATTGATTGGCATAAGGAAAAATGACCACCTTTAAACGAGAATATTATTATAAACTTGAACTTAACACTAGTTTTTGTTTTATCATATGTCTTAATTAAACGCATCTGATATTTACCATTTTTTTCACACACCAGCTGCTGTAAAGGGAAAATATGTTGTCAATGAATGACAGATTTGGATCCCTGTTTCGGTATACTTCACAAGAAATCTTGAAAAATCTAGTATTCCGATGGTGCTGTGGACTCATTTATAATTTTATCTCTAAGTCCTTCTCTAATGAAAAAGTTTTATTCATCCGAGTCAATGGAATCAATATTATATATGGTACTTCTACTAATTCATTCTTGAAATCATATCAGTATCATTTATCATTATCATTTTTCTGTATCATTTTTTAGTATCATTTTTTCAGTATTTTTTTCTCATTTTCACTATTTCTATCTATCTACTATTTTGTAAGACGATAAAACAACACAAGTTTTAGTGTGAAATATTAAGATGGACTGAATAGAGCTTTGGATCTATTTATTGTCCCAAGTTTTTTTGGACAGTTGCAAAACGGTAAAGTAGAAAACTAAGCTCCTAGATTTTTCTGCTCAACAACGCCGAATTTTTTGAAGTTTAGTTTTTTAGTTTTTAATTTGCAAATGGATCGCGCTTTTACTTATTCGTTTATGTTCTTCAATATTATTTTTCTTCAAAAGTTTGAATCTAATAGACAATGAAATAAACTTTTAATAATTTCCATGATTCATAAGTGAAATGATTGACGTGGACAACAAAAAAATAGGCAAAGATTCGGAAGCTCAATATCAAGTGTGTTCATTGAGGATGCATGGATGCATGTCTGAAACACATGAAAATCAATTCCACATGCCACTCTTAAGGCTTTCAAAATATAGAAATGCTATTTAAGCAGTGTCTAAAAAAATAATCTCATAATGATTTGAACTCTTCCAGTGACAAATAAAAAATAATAAAAGCAATTAATTCGAATTAAGATGAAAATAAATTAAAATCAAAATTAAAAGTTCTAAAGGTTTTGGACCAGTGAAAAACTACTATTACTATTATCTGCTACCACGAAAATAAGAAGATGACTCATTCGAAGTGCAGCGACATCACTGCAACCTTTCAAGGTTCAGGCTCAGTCTCGATTTCCGGTTGTCGCGAATCGGTGAAAGCAAAAAGGTTACTTTTTGGGACCTACGCATCCCATTCTTCTTTGGCTTCGCCACATGGGTTTTTTATCTCCATTGCTATTAACAATAAATCTTCTTTCTAGTTCATTGACTCCTATCCAGCTTACATTTTGCTTTCTCCGTTACCTTATTACATGATATATTTGAATATTCTTTGCTGATTCACATTTGGGGTGCCACTAAACTTTGATGCACTTTTCTGAAAACTGGTGAAAACCTCCTCTTCATTCATCGACAATGATTGCTAAGGCAAATGCTGGTTCGAATCCATTTTCTATTTTTATGACTCCATAGTAACCTTTTTACCTTTGCCATTTTGCGACGTCATATTTTTCTGAGGGGTTTACTCCAGTCGAAGAACTCAAATCCTAATATTCTATAAAATCCTAAACAGCAACCCTTCGGGAATAAAATTTATCCAGCAATCTTTTTCCATTTTTTTCAATATTATTAACAAATATTGAAGACTTCGAAAGAAAAAAACATAAAACGATTTTGATTTTTTGAGGTTCAAAATTATAAATTTTAAAATTTATGAGGCAATTTACGATGAAAATAAGTTTAGCGCTCATTTCTAACCCCAATTTTCTATTAAAACAATGTTTTCTTCGTTGACTAATATTTTCTGAAAATGCAATTCTTGAAATTTTCGTTAAAAAAAATAAACGACTTGCGTAATCGATGAGAATCGATGTTTTTTTGAAATTTTGTAGATTTAAAAAAGCTTTTTGACAAAAGGTTTTCTGCGATAAAAATTTTCTGTGAATAAATTTTTTGTAAAATTAATTCCAAAAAACCGCAGAAAGTGAAATTTAAAATACTTGAAATATGAAAAAAGGATTGGAAAAGTCAAAAGCTTTTGGAATATGGACGATATTAAAATTGATTTAAAAATAAAGAATAAGAAAAAATTTTTTTCGAATTTTTAAAATAACGGATATAAAATAAAGAAGCAAAAAACCGATAAGAAGGATACGACTTTCTCTATGGATTTCATCGGATTTAGCAAAAAAATGATAAAAAGTAAGAATTTGATAGAAAAGAAAAAATCAGCCGAACAAAAAATT